GACAGCTTCCGGCGCACGAAGCGCCACGGCTCCCGTTGGCCGACCCGCGCCCCCGCGCCGGGTAAAGACCTCGGGGTCCTCTCACCCACGCTGTCCGAGAGCGGCACTCGGGCCGCAACACGTTGTACTCCGGTGTGTAGCTTGAGTTATTTAACGATACAAATTATTCCTCCAGGGACTGCCAGCCTTCTTCTAGAGGAATCAGACGCATACGCCAACGGAAACACTTATTGACACCCAGGCTCCAGTTAAAGAGACGTGAGAGGTAAAAGCAGGGAACTGTTCAAGCATTTCTCATCCTTGTTATGATGGGAAGGCCGGCAGACTCCCCAAATTATGTCCAAATTAGTCATTGCTGACCTGGACTAGATTTGAACCAGTGAATTAGAAAAAGGCTCCATCTTCCATTATAACTTACTGAGCTGTCAGTTGTTTGACAAACCACAAACTATTTTTACTTTTGTTTTTATAAACAGGTTATGTTCATTTCCAAGTTACTTGCTAGCAAAAAACAGTATAACTTAAGAATAAAACTGTTTGAAATATGACAAAAAATTTTTATTTCCCTATGATATTGAGCCCCTGTAAAGGAAGATTCAGTCCTTGAAAATAAACTATAATCAAACATTATGTGTCCTCATTTGAAGTAACTGAATAAATTATAGAATTTCTGTAATCGAGTACCATATTCTGTAGAAGTAGCGACTTGAAATTTTCACTATGGGCAGACTAAGCAAAGCAAATGCTCAAAGATCTTCCTCTACCGACTGTTCCACACAGATAAGGACAGCTGATTTTATCCTAATAACCCTGTAAATTAATCTTCCTTTGGCTCAGGAAAACTATTTTCCAAAACATCAGCTAATTCTACATTATATTGTCTGAATAATTCCGCAGCTCTCAAACTATTCTCTTCAGGTCCCTTTCCCATCCCCACCCTATTTTCTGAAATAATACCCGCCTGAGAGGCCACAAACTATGTGTGAGCTAGATGTTTACCCCTAAACTCACTCTGAACTTAATGTGAGCATTATGTATCCAAACACACTTCATGGATTTCTGCTCATTTCCACTTTTCCATTGCTCTCTGCCTAGACCCATATGCTTTTTCAGATGAACTTCATTCTACAAGAATGCAGCCATTCATTCTACATGCCAAGCAAGTCCATTCCATTGGATGTAGAAGAAATAGAGACTAATATTACATGTGTAATACTGGGTTCGGGGATCAGAAGTATGTATGTATTTAGAAGAAAGAACTCCAGTGGTGTGTGGATATATAGAGCCCGGAAAGTCACAGATAGGTATGTGCATCTGTAGAGATGTTTGAAGGAGAAAAGATCATGGCAAGGTGGCCGCTACATAGAGTGGCTAGAGCTCGTGACCCCTAAAACAACCTCTCCTTCCCCCAGTATCAGCTGTTGCGGTAAGGAGACATAAGGGACTCCATTGACTTGAGTCCTGAGAAGGCAGCAATTTGGGCTTCGCATCTTTCTGAAGGAAATTTTAGGGTTTGCAAGAAGAAATACACTTTCTAGAGGAATTATTACATGAAAGATCCCTTTCACAGCCCATCCCTCAGGCCTTTCAACCAGCCCCTTCCCCTGCTCCCCCGTAACTCAAACTCTTAATCCCACAGAGCCTCCATTCACAGAGCTAGACACTGAATGGCAACCTTCACCTCCCCAAGCACCTCAGAAAGGAACATTGTAGGTACAAATCCTAATTAGGACCTGGGGTCCTTCTCTGTACAGGAAGGGAGTGGCCTGTCTTCCTCTTGTTCCCTTGCTGAAGATAGAAGGGATTGCGCAGTCTCCCAGCACGCTCCCAGGGTGAGCTGGAATCCAGACAGAGGCAGCACTGGGTGCAGCAATAGCACATCTCTTCCCTGCTCCTGAACTTAAGGCCCGTTTCACTTAGAAAGGTGACAGCTGCTGAAAAGGGGAGATCAAACACAGATCTAAGAAATCCCAACTGTGCTTACCAAAGCACGGCCCTGTTGCAAATACCACACAACTTCTCAATTTACCTTGGACCTTCAATTACCCACATTTTGTTTCATTGGTTAGACATGCAGCCATTCTGTTCCTTTAAATCCACACACACAGATCTTGTGTTTATATGCACGGCTGTATAACTACCTAGAAAAAAAGTTAGTTATGCAGCTAACTAAGCAGGCTGTTGTCACCTGCTTGTTATCAAAGAATGGAGCAGGAGCTAATAGAATTAATTTCATCTAAATAAATCTCATCAAAAATTTAAACTGCTTATTTAACATGTTTTTAAATGATTAAAAACTTACAACTGGGTGTGATGATTTATCAGAAGCCATGCATAAATACAGAAGTCAGTTTTTACTTTCATTATTACCACTGGGCCACATTCTCACCTCTGCTCAAAATCTCATTACTTGCATTTTAAAAAACACAAAGTTTAAAGCATCATAAAAAGAAAGAATGCAAGTTATATTAATCAAATTGTTTGAAATTTTAATGAAGATCCATGTTTGTTGTGCAATAGGTTCTCAGATGGTATGACAAAACACAAGAATCATTTCGAGTTAGACTACATAAAAACACTTGAACAAATCTGAGGAAACGTGCACTTGGAGAAGACTGAGTAGAAAAAGCCCAGTTTTCATTAGGATCTATAGGATTACTCAGAGCATTAAAGAACTCTTGCATAATTTTTCCTCCTTCAGTTAGGGAAAAGACGAGTTTTTCAGAAATATGAAGCACCTCTAATCTCAAGGCAATAATCAAAAATTAGAAGTCCTTAGCATCTTCAAAAATACAGCCAAATCAGTATTTACTAAAGAAATTTAATTTTACAATAATAAGCTATTAGCTTATCAAAATGAGATCGGTTCCTAGTACTGGGACCTGGCACTGCAATTGCTTTGTAAAACACTCATCTTCTCACTCAATTGTTCCCTAGCTTATTGGATGAAGCCAGTAATGCAACATTTCATGGTTGGTACTGTTTTATTGTCTAATATTGATTAAAATATTTACATTCCTACTTTTTAATCCACAGTTTAACACTCATACCTATGGCTTTTACTTTTATCTTTAGCACAACATTTTTGTGTCAAGTGTCAGAATTTCATTTCAAAAAAACCTCAGGAACCTGATACCATATAGACAAATCTTCTCTATATTTATGTTTAAACATATTCATTTTTAAAAATGAAAGATTTATAAAAGAGGAGTCTGGTAGTAGGATGCTTTATTCCAGCTCATGTTTACCACAGATTCTACTGAGCTTTTCCTATTTTAAAATTTCCCCCCCCTGCCTCCACATGGGATCTGTTTCTTCCCTCAACCCAACCCCCCCAATCTAAATTTAATGCCAAAAAAAAAAAAATCAGTAGCTGAGACAATTTTAAGCAAAAATATAAAGCACTATATCATTACCTACATTGCCTTTAACTGCACTAGGTTCTTGAACACTCTAGGAGCTCTGTGGAAGTTTAATCAGTCAGTGTTGAAAAGGCACAGGATTTTTGTGCTCCAAGACCTCCATGATTTTTCCGCAGCCTGACAGTTCAGAAGTACCAGGTTGACAGAAAGATTCTCAGATTAAAAGGAAAGCAAGGATTGCTGTTAGGATACAGCACTGCTGTTGGATGGCAAACAGTTTGCCTAGAACATTCACAGGTACCCAACTGGCCATTTACATTAGAACCCACCAGATTTTAACTAATCCTTTGGCCACAGACACCCTGCAAATCTGTAACAAGAGCTTGCTTCTATGGCAAGAGGAAAAGAGGTCAAATTACTTTTATATATACCTGGGCATGGCATAAGTGTGATACAAGCAATTCATTATGAAAATCCTCACAAAGGTGTCCATCTCTCCTTGGTACTACATGAATGGGAAAGTTACTTCTCATGTATAAGAGAAGTTTAGTTGTACATGAAGAAAATTAACTTTGGTCCACTTGTCCAGCTTCCTAAGGACAGCATATCGGAAAGCTGATCATTGATGGTGCAAAAACCAATGTAGAAGTTAACAAAAATAATTTGGTATTTCATTCCTAAACCTGCACAATGTGGTTATTTGTCCTAGTCATCCACCTTTTCATTCTGTGTGTCCACTAACCGTGGAGTTTTTAAGTCTTCAGCTTGCTCATGATCTTCCTTATCTGCGTCTTCTACTGGACTAGGTTCCTTCTCTTCTGCTTCTCCTTGATCGACATTTTCATATTCTACTTGTTCAAGGTCTGTTCCATCTATAAGTTCTGCCTGTACTTCTTCCATTTTTATTTGATTTACATGCTCAACATGTAACTGCTCCACATGAACCTCAGCACCTTGTTCAGTCTGAATGTGTTCCACTTCCAAGTAACTAATTTGTACCTGTTCTTGCAGTTCATCTATCTGAGTGCCTCTCACTTGATTGTCCTGTATGAGATCCTGGTGCATCTGTTCCACAGTTACTTGTGCGGGATCCACTTGTACCTGAATTACTGGTAGCACATGGACTTGCTCCACTTGTTCTATTATAGTCATTGACGTTACTGGTTCTGCTTCCACAGCTTCCACTGGAAGAACTTCTTCTGTCACTATTCGTTCTGAAATGTTGTGCATGTCTTTGAGGTGCCTTCTCAGCTCATTGCCTTGCATAAACCATAAATCACATAAGGTACAGTGGTTAGGTTTGTCACCTGTGTGTATTACTAAGTGATCTTTAAATTGATCCCAGCTGTTAAACACGCTGTTACAAACCTGAAACAAAGATACAGTATGTTAGACATGCCAAATGAAATGTGACAAAGGCATATTGTCTATTTCACATCATGGCTTTACACAGTGCAGCTTCTTGCTACTTGGACTTTAAAGAAATGCATGTTTGAGGTAGAAGCTGTAAAGACAGCTCTGAATGCATAAAATACATGTGTGTGTTTGTATTTTTCTTAAGAAACGGTGTGCCATTTTGAGTTAGGCATACACAGAATACCTACAGAATGTATGGATCTGTACAGTAGTTGACACTTTTCTTAGTTTAAACTTATTATGTGAGATTCACATACAGAATCATGCCCCAGTAAAATTCTGGTGCTAGAATTCTGGGTGGAAAGCTACTTACGTAATAGTACTGTATGACGGTGAAACTGTAACACAAACTCCTTTTACTAAAGTTCTAGATGCAGTACCACTAGCCAGCTTTTCCTCATCAGCTTTCATTTGTTCACAGCATTGAGGTTTAGTCTAGCCAGTTACAACTCTCCCATTTTGCCTTTTCAAAAAATATGCAGAGTGATTTCAGCAGATAAGTATCTCTGACAATTTCATCCCTTAAGTCTTTTCCAGCTGAAAGTGCTGCCTACACTACAGAGGCACTGTTTTCAGAAAGTACTCCTCCTTTAGCTGGCACTGAGGTAAGCAGCCTGAAAACGATACACAAAGACACTGCAGACATGGATGAGGTGCCAGGATGGAAGAGCTAAGTGAGTGGGATAGAGCTGTGCCTGGGGTAAAGAAACAGCCTCAAGAGTCTTGTCCATACTAGTGTTCTTGGCTGTAGAAAGAAGCAAGGAACACAAGTTCCAACATTCCTTCACTGTCAGCAGATATTTTTGAAACAAAGCGTTCCATCTCCTCCTAATTTTCCAGCAATAAACACAGAAAGATAAAGGAATATCTAACAGGGCTTAACTCAAGGAACAAGTTTGTGAAATGGAGCCGAACACCATCATTTTGGTGCTGAAGTGTGATAAAACCAAGCGAACGACGCGTTCCCCCCACACCGAATTTGCACTTTAGAAAGAAGGAAGCTGTGTATACACTTTTTAAAATACTAAGCTTCTAGTCAAGCGCTCAAAATTAGTTAGTTATTACATTAAGGTAGTGACTATCACTAATGCCCAAGTACACAATTACCATTCTTGCCAAGAACCTGGGCCTAACTCAGTACACAGAATACACAGAGCACCAAAGGTGCTCATGGAGCAAGCGCAATTTTATTTTCTCCTCTTTGCTCAGTGAGCTAAGATTTTATTTATTGATCACTATTCAAATTTAGTTCTGGCAGAAAAGCTTATGAGAAAATTTATCCAACAGCTACTCTAGTTGCTGAGGGCTTAAGAAACATTAGTCCATATTCACAACAGTTGTAAAAGGAAGAGATGGTATCATTTTAGAAACAGAAAGCTATGACTCAAAGCAATTAAACTGAAGGGTTGTGAAGACAACCTCTAAATTATTAAGTACAACTGTGTCACACAATAGTTCTTATGTTCAAGACATATAGACTCAAGTTTACTCTTTGACAGTTGCACTCACAAGGACTAAACTCAGAGTAGCATAACAATTAAACGACGTAACAGCACCAGTGAACCTTCTGGTTAAATGATTCGATTAACAACATAAAGAATTCATTAATCTCCTACTGTGTTCGCTACTCCCTATGACTGAGATCACCCTCTCTTCTTTGTAACAAATAAAGCTGATGCCCAGAAATTTTCTTCAATATGCAAACCAATTTAACCTCAAAGCATAGCCATTCTGCAAACTGAATGAGCTGAGAGTCTTAAGGAAAAAATAAAAAAAAAAAAACCCAGAACACGTGTGTTCTTTTTATTTGAGAGTATCACAGTGTTGTTACAGCAAAATGGTAAATAAAAGTCCTACAGCCAACCTCAGTTCTCACATTTCTGGCTTTCGAAAGCTGATTATTAAAAGCTATGTCATATTCTTCTGAACAATTTCTAGAATGTCAGTTATAAATAGCGTCCAAGTATCTCAGCTATCCATTTACAGCATTTATGTCTGCTTAAGAGATGCTATAGATTGTTACCATAAGCTGGAATGGCTTTCCAGATAGAGTCAAGATATTGGGTATCAAGCAGAAGAACAATAAAATAGGAAATAAAATAGTACTTTGCATTTTGGACTTTAGTGAAGCATGCTCACAAGCAGGAAAGGCCTAGGCCAGTGCATCAAGAACCTTGAAAAGGAAGCAGAAAGATCAGTAAAATGCAGCTAAATGCTTACCTACCCACAAGCATCTCTATGATCAACAAAGTTATGTTGTGAAGCTCCATATTAGCAGTTCCGCATATTAAAATGGAACTACGTAGATGTAAGAACTTATCTGCATCTTATAGCTGAATGTGATCCTTATTTTACTAGAAAAAGTTCTTGGAGAAAAACCCACTCTCATTGCCTTTCCAGCTCAGTATTCCCACACTTCAACACAGCGAGCAGGTAGCTAGCCTCAGACCCTACTTCCATTACTCACCTGACACTCATACAGCTTCTTTCTTCCCTTTTTAGCTCCAGCTCCCGACTGACAGGCTGTCAAGTGACATTTGAGTGTGCTATTCCTAGCAAAACGTTCATGGCAGTTTGGACATTCAAACGGTTTCTCACCTAGTAAGACAGACACAGGGACGTAAGCATATATGAAAGAACCAGTTTTCGGTCAGCTTTCCCTTTTTCACCTCTCCCCTTTGTATAGGTTAAGAAATATGCTGTAAAGACTTCGGAGAAAATATTTCACAATGTTAAGAGGTGGCCAACTAGATTATTCTACAGAATAAAGGAAATATTTTATGTAACCTTTATTTATGTAAGTAAAATACCAAATCTAATGTGGAGTCAAAAACTCTCATTTAGAAAAAGACAATTTAAAGCACAATTAGGTATTTATGGAACTCAGAGATAGTTGCTATTTTGTTAAAATATTGTAACAGAATAGCAATATATTTTGACTTAATATTTATAGTTAAGATACCTTTAGTAATTATACAGTCACATGCTGTATTTAAATATAAAGTTTTATTTTCAAGAACTAAAATTCACCTTGTGCTTGGGAGTTCATTTTTTGCGAAACTGAGCTCCAGAAACAGTTTACATAGAACACCCATGAAGTAACAATGTAGTATATCAAAATAAACAAACAAAGAAACCATAGCAAAGACAGCTCAGAGACATAGGTGGGCCTCAGCCCCCTCCCCAAAAAAATCCTTTCTTTCTATTTGGTCACTTAATTTCAAACCTGTTACCAAAGAGTAGGACGTTTTCCAATGAGAAGCCAAAAGACATCCCATGTTCTTTTTCACACAAAGTATTATATCCTTATCACTTGGTGAAAGTGAAAACAAAGGACAACTGGTGTCTCTATTTATTACTTTCGTCATGCACAAACACGATGAAATTCAAGGAAATTAAAGCATGAAAATCAGAAAGGGTCTATTTCTTCTGAAAGTCTGATAATTAATCTGTGAAGGCATGACACCAACATAACTACTCACATAAAATTGTTTCATGAGCTCCTACAGAGGCTGGGACGTTTCAGTGAATAATACATTAATCTATTCTAGCTAGATCAAGTTTAAAAGCCTGCATTTTAAGGAATACAGTAGTTATTGACTAAGGCAGAAAGCAGATAAAACTGTGTTTTCAGAAATAAAGATATTCAAAAATTGCCTTACAAGCTTTTCAAAAGAAATTCACAGATAGCCCACAGATTCTGGCTTATGCACGTAAAGACTAGATAAAAGTTAAATGACGTGAATATTCCGTTAACGTTTATGAAAAACTATGCTTTTTTGGAGCCTGTTGTAGAGGTAATGCAGAGAAGACTGAACTGCCATCAGTCTTGCAGATTAAAAGTTATGGATGCCTTGGAGAGCCAACAGGATACTACAGAACAAAACTCACACCACAGAATTTCACCTGCCCTGCAATCTACTCACTTAAAACAGTTACCTGGAGCAAGCCACCACCTGGCCAGGGAAATTGATTCTATCCTTACTCTGTTCTTCAATAATCTTCAAAAATATTCTGCACAAAGTATCTCAGAAGTGTCAAGTCACAGATAGCAGTGGCAATATCTAAGGGCCAAAAGAAGCTGTGTATCTTCTTGCACAGTGAGAATTAACACAGTGACCTGGGTCATACAGGCCACAAAACGATGAAAAAACAAGTAGGATGCCAGCATGTCTCCTGCTTGAGAAACATGTTAGCAGAGAGGTTTAGCCTGCTGTTTGCCAAAGATGACAACTTGTTTCTCTTCCCCCATGCGTCATCCAACCATTAGTTTAGTCTTACCAACTGAGATCTGCTCTGGTTCTAAGAGGAGATTGCCCAGTATAGTGCTAGCCCTTTATAATTTTACAGACACGGGAAAGATATTCCCCAAAATAAAAAGCTTTTTAACCCTGACAAAAGAAATTCACAGTTCTTCATAAGAGTACATACAATGATTTTTATTTGCCTAATACCAACTGAGGAACACCAACTGATTCGTCCATTACCATAAACATACCACATCAGTATTTAAATTGGGTTTAAGAGAGAAATATTAGTAAACCTAGCTGGTTTTTTCCCACTGAAATACCTAAGGAAGAAGTGCATCAACTGGTAGCATTTATTCCAGGTAGGCAAACCATTTATATGTCCATTTATTCACTTCTTCTACAGATAACGTTATCTGCAGTTTGAAGCGTGCTTCCCATAAAACTTTGATTTACCACAGAAAGGCAAAGACCTTGCTTAAGTTTTCCTAAGTTTATATTTTCTGTACACAGATTAGTGCAGTTACAGAGCTGATTAGTTTGGCAGCTTGGAACACAAACTCCTTCACTTCCATCTTTGCTCATGTGAGTACATACACCCTTCATAAAAGGGAAAAAATATCTATTTATCACATATATATCTCAATATAAACTATCTATATTGAATCAAAAAAGGCCGGGTTTTGAGAAATATTCAACAGTCAAAATTCCCAGTCAAATCAGAGGGAATCACACTTGTTCAGTGACTCTTTCTGCTAGGAAATACAAGCTTTTAAGATACTGAGCTTAGACAAGCATATTCAGAGCAGTAGCTTCATTCTAAGAATAAGTTTTACTCAAGTAAGTTGTTGTTCTTGGCTAAGACAAGTTAGTGTATATCCATTGAGGTCAATAGCTCTATTTCACTGAATTTCTGTCCTCCTGTGAGTTACTTACTATTTTAAGTGATATCTCATTCATTATCTCCCCCCCTCCATTATGAGAATCATGAGATCAGGCCACAAAGCATCCCTCTATATAAGCTGTAGAGATGATACTGTTAATACTTGCAGAGTTACATGACATTCATGACAATTGTCTTAGAGCAAGCCACCATCTGGCCAGGGACGTATTTATTCTATTCTTACTCAGATTCTTAGAGATTCTGAAGCTGCTTAAGGCTCTGTATGCATTTGAGTGAGGAAGAACTCCATGGTTCCCCTTTCTATTTTCTTCTATTAAGACAAGAGGAAAAAAAAAAACCAAACAAACAACGACAATGTCAAGTTATATCAAACGTGATCATCAACGTTAATAGGCTTTCTTCACCATTTCTTCATCACTTGCTACTTTCAGTTTATTGCTGCTGTTGTGAGTAAGCAGCAACAGGATCAGACATGCCATAGGACATCATCTCCCCAGCCTTTTAGTTTTACTTCAGTTTTCAACCAATGCCACAAAGAATTCAGAGCTTAGAAAGCTTTCAGTTCAATAGAAGTTTTTTCCTGCATTTCCTGTGATGTGCTAAGTTGTTTTGTCCCCAGAACCCTTTGCTTCAACAGTGACCAACATGTGGTGATATTTGGGTTACTCCGGCAATCTACCACAAGCTTTTCTCTGAAAAGTACCTTGATGTGGCTTGGTCATAATGGAGAAACACTTTACAGAAGATAAGGATTTTTTTTAAGCCTTCTTACATTAGCTGCTTTTAAGCAGCTATTGGGAGTAGACAGGATACAGTGCCATATATCAATACGCAGGAGTCCCATACATAGATGCAAAGAAGTTCTAGTTAGCAAGCTTTAACAACAAAGACAAGCTGTTAAAGAATAGGGCTGCTATCGTCCTCCATTAAACTCTTCCTAATGACTCGTGACTAACATTTTAAAAAGACATCTGGCAGATCAGGACCCACACATATTTTATAGTCAGAGTTACTTATGCAATGCTCAGTACCTGTACAGATAGTACAAACTTTTCAATGAGATGAAGTAGCATGAACTTCCCATATTACAAGGAAGAAGGAGCACAAGTCATTTTGTACTCAAAAGATGCTATCCAGACTTTAAAAAGGCAGATTTTACAATAACCAGTCTACTACAGTTGGTAGAAATTGTTTGTTTGTTCATTTGTTAATTGACACAGCAAAAAAGAAAATCATAGGCGAGATGTGCAGAGCAAGGAAGAGAGTTTCTAACAAGTTCCTAACAAGGTGGTGCAAGAGAAAGTTGTTAGGTGGGTAATTTATGCCTCATGCATTGATAGGCATTTGCCCAGAAGATCTGTTAAAGAAATCCTCCAAACTGCATTCCATTAATAAGCTCACAATTCACATCTCATTTCAAAAGAAAAATGTATTAACAGAATTGTGAAAATAAAAGCAGCTCCTCAGTTGAGTACTTTAAGAAGTAAACATGCCTCAGAAACTGATTTCAAAAGATTTTTAATATTTGATACACTTGGGAAAGAAGCATCATTAGGGCTTTCTTTTAAAAAGGCGCCTACTTTGAACAGCTTTAAGAAAAAATTAAATCTATAAGTCGCCACAATCTCTATTCCTCACAGTTTATGGGGGCAGGGGGGAAAGAAATCAACATTTAAGTTTAACTAGAAGCCAAATATTGCTAGCACTGTTAACGCTCCCACGTTTCTCTTCAGCATATTCTCTACTTCACCAAAACACACAAAATGCTGGAGCCAAAGCCATTAAGTACAGGAATAGTGCTCTTACCTGTGTGCTTCCGAAGGTGCTCTTTAAAGTGTCCAAAATGGTCAAACTGTTTATCACAGTACTGGCATATATGTATTTTTTTGCCAGGTCTTTGCTTCTTGCTGGCGCCACCTTCATCAAGGTGGTAACAGGTGAGGTGCTGTTTCAAAGCACTCTCTCGTAGGTACCTTTTATTGCATATGTCACACTTGTAACTCTCAGTAGAGTGTGTTTTCATGTGTTCCTTAAAATGGTAAAACAATTTAAACGAACGGTTACATTTCTCACAGTGGAATAAGTTGTTCACGTGTGACAGCTGAAGTTCCACAATTTCAATACCTTCTACCTGTTTGCATGAGGGATCAGTTGCACTGTCACCTTCTTCTTCGATCTGGCATTTTCTCTCTCCCTGACGATACTTGCTGGTGATATCTGCCAAAAGAGCCAAAGCCGATTCATCTGATGTACCCGTAGTCTGTATGTACTTTATGGATTGCTCTGCAGAAGCCACTTCAAGTGTTTCAATGCTGTCATCTTCCACTTCACTTGCCCCTTCAGCAATCTCAACCTCAATTTCAACAGGCTCCGATTCTGCAGATGGCAATGTTTCTGTGATAACATTAGAGGTTTCAGCTATCTTCCTTTTTTTCGGTTTATTTTTACCTTGCGTTTGATTTGATTCTAAGGGTGATGCATTTTCTTTGTTCCTGTAAAGCATGTGCATGAAAATGGTTAAGATCCACCAGCGCTTACCTAACAACTCCTGCTCGATACTGAACTTTCGCATTAAACACTTTCTAGCTGTTTCCCAAAGGGGCTGAATGATGAAAGACCACATAACCTGCACACGTTTCAGAAGGTAATTTGTCCTTAATCTACATTCCTTAGACTTGCAAAATAGCACGGTTAAAGCTGTAGAGCCTCTGACATGAGGCGACTAGTGTTTTCAAAAGCTCTGCTTAAACGATATACAACGTACCAAGAAGAAAGACCAGTTAGCCTAATAATTTAGGTTTATTCCAGAAACTTGTGAAATCTTGCACTTAGGAAGAAGTCTTCCCTGAAGGCAAGAGTTCTTTGGCCTGCCTTCTCAGAAATGAGGCTCAAGTCCTTCCTACACTATTCATCATCTTTAAGCTCTGTAAAGGATATGATCGCCTACAGCGCCTACGGCTTGTTAGAAAAACATACAGCTGTGGCTTCAAACGGTGATTACAATCTCATCTTATACTTCAGGAAAGTACAGAGCTGACTGCTGAGGCAAGAAAAACCTTCATACTGGGATGAGGAGAAAGTCAATTTCTTCAATTGTATGGGCTTAAACAAAAACTCCATCCCTCTTCCTCCTCCTGTTCAAAAAAAAAGGAATCTATGAACAACAGAACTAATTCTAAGCAAAAAAAGGCTTGCATGTGCGTTTGTTGAGCAAAACATCTGTTTCCATAACTTAATAATTACAAAATTTACTAGTGATGGACAACAAATAAACCGCATAATGTTATACAACAGTGGGAAATAACTGCAGGCTGGACAGTTTAGCTCAATGGGCTGATATGAATCCCAGTTTAACAGCTCCTCCAGTGTACACTGACTCAAAGTGATACTGACTAGAACGCACTTTAAGTTTCTTTTCAGTTTCTCAAGCAAACAGCAAAGCTCTGTTCCCCCCCCAATGAAAAAATAAATAAATATATATATTTTTTTGATGCTACCAGGATTAATCTTGATAATGTCCAAGAAGAGGGGAGGAAGAGAAGGGAAGAGGATAGGATCAGAAATGCACAATCCTGTATCTTTCCTATACAGGAAAAAACAAAACAAAAAACCTCCACATTTTTATGCAGCTCTGCTTGCAATCCACAGAGTACTTAAAAATAAACACTGATGTTGCAAATTAAGTTTCCAGTGTACCATATTACAGAGGTTTTCAAACAAAATGTTAGTTGGCACCACTACAGGCATTCTGGCCCAGGGCTGCTTCCCTGGCTAATGTGTTTATGGGGAGATAAAGAGGAACCAACAGCCTTTCCTTAGGCTTGACGCAAAGGCATCTCAAAGTCTAGACAAGACAGCAAGGATGACTGTAAAGCCAGGAAACATTCATTGTCCCTCCCTCTGCTTTCATGGTGGAAGAGCAGTACAGCACACAAAAGGAATGAGGACATGACAATATTCTGTATTTAAGAGTGAAAGGGAAGGAAAACACCATAATGGGGTTGGCATCTGCTTTTCTCAGGTTGTGGTTTGGTAACAGAGTACAGCTCCTGGCACTGGACAGAAAGTGATACAGCAATATCTGATTAACTGTTGATCCAGTATAAAAGCAATTCTATTATATGTGTTCAAGAAATTTGAGAGATTAGTTTTGCACCCTATTCTCTCACAAATGGCAGAAAGCTACGTGAAATCAAAGCACCAGCACAAACTCATTAATGCGGACTAATTACCAGATACACACTGTCACTGTACACTGAGCAAACTTACTCCAAATCAGGTGTGAGCACAGACCTGGTATTAGTTACCACAAAATCATAGCCTACAATATCTGCAGCATTTGCTAGCTGTGCCAGTTGTCATTCAGTTCCAGTCCAAAGAACGTAATATTCATTTTTTTAGCCTTTCTAATTCCTACTCACACTTTACTGTAGAAGGCTATATGGTCCCACAGAAGTTTCGGAGGGCCCAGGATAAGGAACAGTGCTACAAAATGCTAGCAGCCAGCTCTCGTTAAAATCAGTGTTTAGGAGGAAAGAGAAACCTATGAGCTTACCTGATTTCAAGTGCTTTGATTGCTTCTAACATCTGTAGATACTCAGCTGCTTTCCAAACATCATTTGCTTCTTCTTCACCTTGGACCATTAGTTTTGCTGTGTAGGTGAACTCAATTAGATGACGAAATGCCATGTTACTTACACCTGTTGAGAAGCAAGAAGACAGTTTCAATCAGCAATTTCTCAGTTTTACCTGTCTGAGAAGTCTTGCACTCTTGCTTACCCACCATTACGCTCATACTACTTTGGCTGCCCTTTTCATGAGGCTGAGACTCATGAAAGACTCATGTTGGACTAAGAAGTTTACTATAAAAACATGGGAATCTGGAAGATTTACAGAGTCAAACCAGGACTAAGATTATCATAAAGTAAGAATAAAATGGACAAAAGTTGTTTGTACAAAATAATAAGTAGCATACAGCCCACAAAAAAAAACCAAATCCGGTTCATTTAAACACAAAAATATTATCTGTCTCAAGAGACCTCTGAGCAGTAAGTTACTGGAGGCTGAAGTGCCCACCAAGGAAGTATTGCTCTGTTTATCTCCTGTTCTTCACCCCACCAAGGCATCTGCCACTGACCACCAATGGAGGTCTTTTGGTCTGACCAGCACAGCTGTTACCAAGGAAAAGGTTGATATATTGGACTGTCCTAAAAATATATGGAGACCACAACCTCTATTAGGAACGTATAGGAAAAATAAAGAACACAAATCCCCTCCCCCCCCAATTTTTTTAAAAGGTTTCTTCAAGGGTAGTTTCTTCCAGCAGCAATAACCGCCTCAGAACAACTCAGTGAGATTCAGAAAGCTGACTATATGACCAACCATGCACATTAGTCCATACCACCAATACTGCATTAATTTCCAGACTGAACACAGACTGCAGAGGTATTTTTATTTGCATAAATCAGATTACCTTCTATCTCCACCAAAGGCTCCTGAGTGAAGTCTTGGAAGAATTTGTAGAAAAACTGGCTACAAGCAGCAAGAACTGCCTTATGAGCTTTGAAATGGTGACCTAGAAAGAGAGACGTAACATTTCAGTTTCAGATAATACCTTCCTTATTCACAGTGCAGAACAAGCACAGAAGAGAGAATGGCTGCAGAACCCAGGCTACAAATCCATTCTAGAAGCACAGAGTCATTTAATGTAGCTCCTTGCAACATGACATCCTATAGTAGGTAGTCTGTCCTGTCTTGTGCAAAACCTTGCTCACATCACTGACCTTGCTGAAGCTCTGCAACTCGATCAGCTGGAGGACTAACTCATTGCAGAGTCTCTCTTTTCAGATATTTAAATTATGGGAAATTCCTCTGAGAACTTTTTCCCCCCCACGCTATGTTTTAGGCTCAACTCTCAGGTTTTATCCAAGTTCTCCTCTGTTTCTACTGCGCTTACAGACCAATGTTGCACCACCACTTCGGTCAGCATAAACACCCTTGCAGTTCTGCTCTGTCCTTCCTGTTCTCCAGGTTGTGCATTCCCCACCACTGTGCTGCATTCTCCCAAGCTTAGACATGAACATTCATAAAGCTCCACAGGAAAAAGATAAGAGAAGCAACCTGGATTAGAACTACACAGCTGCACAAGAAAACAGTTTTGGTCACCACAAAGGATTTGTTAATGTTAGAGGAGGAGTAAACATCCAGGATAAGTTTTGAGGAAGTACTGCTACTGCATTGCTATTGAAACTACGGTGGTAGATTCCAGAAAAGTAATCTTTTCCCAGTTTGCTTCCCTTTTTCTAATCCAGGACCTTTTCCCCCAAAGGAGTTCTTGCTATCCTTTTGAGGGTCAGAGTTCTTGTCTTTTTGAGATGCAGCTGGTTTACTCCAGCTCAGTCTGCGGACACTGCCTATCTTCCCTAGAAGGGCTCATCCATTCTCAGACATCTTCAGGATAAGGTAAGAAATAGCCTTATGTGATATATTAGATACCTCCTTTTCTTACGAGATAAAACGAAGCAGAAGATGCAAATGCTTATTAAGCTTAGGTCTCTATAACGCAGAAAAAGAAAGGTGAATTCTTGTACCCTATTTTAATTCTACATCAAAACAGTGGACAGGTACCAGAGAAGCAAACAGGCAACCCTATTCCAAGCTTTTCTTTTTTTAAAAAACGTTTGTACAAGTTCTCTGGATGTAAGCAGTCAGCTCAAATTAGGGAGTAATATTTTAAACAGTGTTTTGGAAATACTTAGACAACATGTTAAATATAGTACAGCAGTTTCAAGGTGGGCTTCTATCTGAAAATACTTAGCCCCTTGCTTGGAAAAGCAGAAGCGCTCTTATTAACCACTGTTGACACTGTTCACCCAAGGTTTTAGAAGGAAGTCTCTATGCAACTTGCAGACCTGTACAGAACCAGGATTAAAAAACAAAACAAAACAAAAAAAAAAACAAAAAAAACCCCAGCCCAGTTTGACAGCTTCAAGAAGGAAAAAAACAGGCAGCTTCCCAGCACAGCTTTCAAAATTCTCTGTATACCAACAGATTCATAGGCCTATACGTACCATCTACAATCAGAGTGATATCTGTAAACTGGTCCTGCTCACGTTGTTCATTCAGTCTATCCAGAATAACTTTATAATGATCTGGGAACTCCTGGATGCACTCCATCATTTCTTCCGCTTCCATGGCAAAAGGACTTGCCTACAAAAGATGTATTAGCAGAATAAGAATACTGTGCCACTCGGTAAACATTATGCACAGTCAAATTAGTATACAAATATGAACTACCTAGAATTTTTAATAGACTACAAAACCAACAGAACACAGAATTGCTTGCCTGATTTTAGCTAGCAGGTAGGACACATTAGGGTTAATGAAGTAGAGTATGGCCTTTGTTTATAAACAAAGACCAGTCAAACTCTTGGTCAATACGCAGAAGTGTATTTCTTTCTTCCACCGATTCAGCAGACACCCACTCTCCTCAAAGCAGATAACGCATGAATTGAACATCTTCACAGCTAACTATTCACCAATACCTCAACAGCACAGTATCAGAATCTTTATACAGTTACTTCATGCAATTCTACCAATTCATTTGATGGAAGAACAGTTCTTAAAATTTAAGCCACATTTTGTGTTTAGTTAACACAAGATGTTTACTTCCTTTAAACAAGAATGTACTAAGGCAGCACATGGCAGCTTTGGACCACACAGGAGTTGCCAGGGATTTAAAGCGCTGTCACACCCAAGAGCAAGCAACATCTTATTTACCCAGCCTCCTTACACTTATCCCCCTGCAAGGTGAAATATTCTTTGCCATTCTTTTCAAAGGGGCACAAATCATAGCTTTATAATCTGACAGTCCTTCCTCCCTTATTATACAATAAATGTAGCTGGGGGTAGGATTTGTGGAGGTTCTCAAAGGAGGTTAGGCAAAACCTCTGTGCCAGTGGACGAGACAGATGTTAGTCTGCTGCTTATGCAAAAGAACCTCTGGGGAGAGTCCAAGCATTTCACAAGTTAACTCTAGGCAAAATGACTTCAGATCTGCAGGCAGCACTTCAACTCCCACGTTCGCTTGGTTCTCACACTAACAACGCCTTAGAAAAAGCAAAGACATTTCAGAGCTACATTGGCACAATTTATTTTCAGAGTCTAACTCACTTTGAAAAACAAGTGGCTTCTAAGATAAAACAGTAATTAGGCTTGAATAAGTCTAAGTAAGTTTGAGAAATACCCTTCACTATATTGTCATACTTAGTATGGACAAAAGAAGAAACGTGAGAAAAAAATAAAGGGAAGGACAAGCTGAAAGTTAGGAGAGCAGCTAGCATTAAGCCAAACTGACTAAAGAAAAGGAAGTTTTTAGTGTTGCAAATAAGCGGTTATCTTTAACCGCTTACTATCTATACAGAAGAAACATCTGAGCTGATGGTTGCTGACTCCCCAGTACAGCTGCTTAAATTCTGCCTCACTTCAACACACACACTGGCATATTGGGTTCGATCGAAGCAGGGAGAAGAAAAGTTACCAGGTTACAAGAGATGCAAAACACTTCCTTACGGCTAGTAGACACCAAGTCTGCTTGAAATTGTGGAACTCCTATTTTCAGTGCAAGACACGCTCTAAAACCATGGAGAAGAGTCATTTTGCCAAGGGCGGGGGGGGGAGGGGGGGGAAGAGCAGAAGCATTTGCTTGCGTAGTTCTACCTGTTATCTGTGCTTTGTCAAGCAGATGCCAAAATATATGTCAGGCTCTTAAAGGGTGCAGAGAAGACCAGCCTGGAGGAAGGGGGGGGAAAAAGCAAGATGAAAGTGAAAGATCCTCCTGTTTTCACTTCATTTCTGTTTTACACTGAGCTTAAGATATCTAGCAACTCCTGCCTTTCTTTTATCATCCGGCATCTCACATTAAAGTTTCATGTGGGAAGTTATCAGCTATTTACTTCATGGTTTATTTCATTGTTTAATTCTCACTGTCCATTTCTGACAAGTCATGGAAGGATAGATAACTTGAAGTTAGAAATTCCCTTAAACAAAATAAAATTCCAATCAACAAATCTTATGATTTGCACTTATCCAAAAGCAACTTACCTCCAAATCGCATGTCTGTAGGGATAGTGTACAAAAAAAACTCAAAAAACACCAAAGCAACTCCCCGGCCAAAGCCCTAAGTTTAAAAATTTTTCAGTGTTTCACAGAACACTTAAAAATCATTATTAATATATTACACAACTTGTGGTAGGTAGATTTAATGTCCCAAGTTTACACAAAGCTGGTAGTGTGCGTGAAGTGTTAAGTGTGAAGTTATCACATATTTAGATTCAAAAAGAAAAAAAAGTACTTGTTACAGTATTCCTTGTTTATTCACATTCTAAACTCAGTGACAGGGCAGAAAAACAACAACATAGCAGCATATGTTTAATGACAGCATGAATAATTTGAAAGTAGAAGTGAGTGATACAGTACCAAGAGGGGGGAAAAAAAAAAAATCAAGAAACCGAGGAAGACAGGCAAAAGAGATCCAGCAGACAGTTACAACCAGGCTTACAGGTGAGGGATGAAAACCATACTACCTGATTCATTTGCTAGCTAGATTCAGTTTTCCCAGATCAACTACTGACCTGGCTTAACCCCATCAGCCTGTGAAATCACACGAATTTCACATGACAGGCACAAAATTTACAAACTGTTCTTAGTAACTAGTTCAATGAAGCTGTATTATTCCTACTGTACTCCTGGACCACAACAGGAGCTTCTCTTGTCTTAGGCAACAAACAAAAGACTCTCTTTGCCTACAGGGAACAGGTACACACGCTGTCACAGGGAGAGGCTGGGCAGGGGCCCCGCCACGGCCACCTTCCCACAGGCATCCCAGGAAAGGAGAACCTGAGGGGCGTCTGCAAGACGGCAGACAGCTTTGTGGAGGGTAGCTGCTTTGTATCAGCAGCAGAACTAAAAAACGAAGCGTTTTTTTTTTATTTAAAAAAAAAAAAAAGAAAGAAAACCAGAGAGAGAGGGAAAAAAAAAAAAAGTTTGCAAATCCGGGGCTACGCGCTCCCGCCTGCCGTAGCAACCCTGCCTCCCTGCCCTGCTCCTCTGCTACCTCACTAGCGCTGCTGCGCTCAGCCCTACGCGTGTTTCGCTCTGTTCACTTTAGAGTAAAACCAGCAAAGCGACAACGCGAGAGTGAGAGTTTTCGTGTGCGTCTCGTCGCGTGG